TGTAAATCATCAAGTAGATTTTATTTTTTTCTCAAAATATATCAAATTATTTCTGCATTGTCTCAGTATGAAATGATGCAGTTATCATAGAGATAAAGGACAAACAAGCTTTAACAAAAAGTGTTTGGGAAATCGCAAAATGATAGAAAATATGTAAATTCTGAGGTAATATGGGTATCTGTCAGAACACACAGAGTTTTCACTGTTTATATTCCTGTCATGACATTTTTTATATCTGTGCCTAAAGAAAGTATATAGCTGTTTCATAACATTCAAATATGAGGAATGGTGAGGGATGAAATCCAAATCTTACCTCTGGAATTCCTCACTTTTCTGCATTTATGCTGGGCTTTTAACTTTATTATGAAGTCATTACAGTTTATCATGCCAATAGGTATATAGGGTATGTTAACCACAGACCACTGACAGAATAAACCATGCATGTGCAGTAAGTATCACACTAGAAATTCTATGAAAAATTGAGTATATGCATAAAGTGCTTCTTTCTTTAAACAACAATTCCTGCTTCCTCAGCCTTCTATACCCAAAGGCACTTATACATGCTAGGCTGAATATATTCAAACTACCTTATAACCATGCTGGGATGAGAGAACCATACAAAACAGTTATCAACAGCTGGTTCCAACATGTTTTTTCTCTCAGCTTACTTTGACAGATGAGAGTGATCAAAATAGGATTAAATTAGAGAAAGGCTATATCTATATAAGCAAGTGAATCTGTGGAGCAAAACCCTGTGGCCACACTCTGTTTGTGGGGAAGGTGCAGAAGTTCCCTCATACCATCTCTGAAATATGTCTTCGGGCTCAATTTCATCCTAAAGGGGATAGAGATAGATCATCAGCTCTGAGACTGTCATCTACAGTGAGGCAAACAGAGAAGGATTGAGAGCTTGGCTTCAATAGTACACCCTTGGCCACACACAATCAGTGGTGCAGACTTGCCCAGACTGCAAGTTTTTGAATCGAAAAGATCCAACAACCAGCATTCAAAGCAGTAATCCAGTGTCATAACTTATTTTATAAATTAGGACTCCTTAGAATGATGTTGCCAAAAGTTAGGGTTGACGTGAATATGACATGGCCTTCTGGGATGGACTTGCAAGACAGATGAGTTAGGTTAAAGTAGCTGATGTAATTTGTGTCTGGTAAATGTTTGAGATGGCTTTGCCCAATGTGCTGTTACATTCCTTGGCATGGTTAGGGTCTTGTCCAGTGAAAAGTGATTTCCCATAGAAGTTGCCATACTTTTAGCACAGTCTTATTATGGTGTCTTGAAAATTGAAATGGAAGAAATTGCCATACGTTTAGTACAGTTGTTATGGCGTCTTGCAAAATGTAATGGAAATGAACCTAAATAACTGGTCTATAAAACTGCTTCTGAAACATTCAGCTTTTTACAGAGACTGAAATGTTTTCTGCAGAATGATGAGAATTTCCATATTGTGTAGGGCAATTTGTGTATCAGTTGTAGTATTTTTAACATGTACTTCAGAAGAGTGGCTACTATAATAATAAAATATATTATATTTTGCCTCTTTTTTTTTTCTTTTAGTTGTTGTCTCTTCCTATTAAGTTGTACTTATGCTTAGACCATGATGATCTATATTTTATTCTATTGCTCTTGGAACTAGAGCCTCATCTGTATAACATGAGGACAACCTATCGAAATACCTTCAGCCAAAACATACTAATTATCTTGCTTTTAAACTCACTTTTTTCTTTGCTTGCTCTCTTGAAGAACTGAGGAATTAGAGGGTAATGGGGCAATTCAGATTGAGAGGGTGCTCTGGATTTCCAACCTCCTATTATATTAGTAGTAATTTTTGTAGTGTTGTTCAAAAACAAAGATGGAAGTGAGATTGTTTTATTCAAAACTACCTAGCTGTATCACAGTGTTTCAGAGAAGTTCTGAAACATCTTCTCTCTTCTTAAGAAAACTATGCATTTCCAGTGTTGAATTTTAAGAAAATCAATCTGCTTACCTTATCTGCTTACCTTAGCAGATGACTGTGTCATGATCTCAAATTATCTATTTGAAGAAAAACCATGTTTCTTTAGTTTTGGCAGAAAAAGGTGGAACAAGATCAAGCGTCTAGAAGCTGAAATCAGATAAATTCAGATTTTTAAAAGGCAAATTTTAATAATTTATATATTTAATCATTATAGCAATTTATTAAAGGATACTTTGAACAATATATCAAATGAAGTATTTAAATAAAAAAAAGTTTTCTTTTGAAAACTGTGTACTCTAATTCAGAAGTTATAAACTGATGTACAGATTTCTGCACTAAACATCAATGGTCTATGCTAAGAAATCAGTGTGGATAACCAAAAGTGTCTCTTAACATGCATCAGTGTTGTGTATACTCTTATTAGTGGCTTTTCTGTTTAAATTCCATATTGTTCCTGAACTTCAAGCTGGTTTTAGGATCCTGACAGTCGTTATAGAACAATTGCAAGCAGAGCTGGAATTGTGGATATGATAAGCAAGGATAGATGGATCACCTGAGATATAAAACATACTTTGCTAATTATTGTGAAATTCAGCAGAGTAGAAGAGCTCTGAGCTGTCTCAGTGATCACAGCCATGCTTCATTGTTAGACCAGGTAGATTCCTTGCAAGTCTATCACTGGAACTGGCAATGAGCACCTGGATTAGCAATTGGAGGAGAAAACAGCTGTTTGACTCACCCAAGCCTATGAGACTGCATTGTCACACAGGCTGTGACAGTGCAAAAAGAGCTGTTTTCAGTGGTATGGGCTTGGGGAGGCTGGGCTCTCTTAGTTCTGCCTTTTGTGCCTTGGAAGTGGGCAGTAGGAGGCTGATGAGGAGAGAAGCAGCTCTGATGAAAGAATCAAAACTCTGGTAAATTCCATAAGCCTGTAAATGGCTTTGGGCCAGCTTTTGTGTATATGGCCATCCTGCACTGTAATGGTGCAAGCCTTGACATGCTCAGGTGATTGATAGACCAGACTTTTCTCAAAGCTTATTGCATGAAGGAGTGTGTGAGTAAGAACACAGTCTGATGGCCACAGCCAATGATGCCATGGTTACCAGTAGTAAACATAAAGATACCTTTAAAGTCATAAGCCTTCAGAAGTTTCCTAAATTAACTTACCAGAGACTTTGTCTTGCTGATATTTTCTGTATGGTGGGCTGCTGTCAAAGCAGTGGGGCTGTATGGGAAAGCAGTGGATTCTTGAGCCTTGCACCAGTCCCCATTTCTTATCAAAACAGAAGAACCTGACTTCAGGTTATCTAAAAAAAATGAAAAAATGGAAAATTCTTATTTTAAGCTAATAAAAATAGGATTAAATTAGAGAATGCCTATGTCTACCATTGCTACTGACATGGCCTAATAGAAATGAATCTTTAGAGTGAAACTCTTCTCATCACTCTCATGTTTGCAGTGAGGTTCCTTTGTATTTTTGTTGGAATGCATTAGTTGTGCTTTTGAAGTGCATCTTCTGACTTAATTTCTTCTGAAAGGAATTGTTTCTGTTTGGTGCCATCAAATGCTTTTTAAAACCACACGTACATGTTTGAGAAAGATATTAAAGGATGAAATTTAGAATTAATCTGGTTCCCTCCTGTGCCCTAGCAATGTGAGCTGTGAGGAAAGGTAAGATGAGCTGGCCCAGCAGAAGTTATTTCACTGAAATAGATAGTATTGCCATGTATTAAATTACTGCTCCATGTGAGCCTGGATAGGAGCATCTGGCTGTGGCAGACTGGCAGGCAAGGGGTAGAGCTTTTATTTTTCTGGCAATATCTGCCAAGTGCTTGTGCTCAGTTCTGATCTGGGCAGGGGTCACTCCTGTAATTCCAGGGACTGGGTAAGAAATGGGATTAGTGCAACGATTTGAAATGCTGTGTGCTACTCATGCCAGGGGAAGCCATCAAACTGGATTTTGTGCTGTCATCAACAGCTGTCATGACTGTTTCCTTAAATCTGTGTTTGGAAGGGCATTTATATAGCCTTAGAGTCAAGATTATGGTTAAAATTTGTTACATCAACACAGACTAGAGTGAGTTGTAGTGGAAAGGGCCTTAGAACTAGGTTTAACTCCATTATAGTAAGAATTATTTTTATTTTATTTCTGTGCAGAAAGGCTATATTTCAGTGGTTTTAGTGTCTCTAATAAAACAAAACCAGAAGTTATGTCTTTGGAGAGACCAAAGGAAAGGAACAAATAAATGGTATTTTTTTCATGGGGCTGACTTGTGCCTGTCATTGCTATTCCCTGTTTATCTGACCTATTAATGGAGGGCAAAATTCCAAAGAAATGTTTAATTAACATTTGTAATTAGTATTACAAAAGACCCTGCTTTATGGAACAGGCAGCCCAGAGAGGAGGGTCAGGAAAAGACAAGCTCTTCACCCTGTAATTATTGCAGCTCTCTGTAGTGCTCTCATTCATCTCATTAACATCACAGTGGGATGGTGCCACTGCAGGCTACTGGCAGGTGTCTAACTGCCTTCCTCCTGGGGAGACTTCTCCAAAAGAGGTCCTGATCTGCAAATAAGTTTGAAAGCTTGCCAGCGGAGTTCCTCATTCAAACTTCGAAGTCTCCTGCTTCCAAAACACCCTAAAGACTTTCAATTTCAATAAACAGTGGTGTTCTGGAGAAGTGCTTGCTTTTTAACTGTGGAAGAGAGAGGGAAGAAATTAAGGTTTTTCTAGCAAAATATACTACTTAATTAACATGTTCAATTTAACAAAAATAAAATAAGCTAGCTAGAAGGGAATTGTGGCTGGATAAATAAAAGGAAAACCTGAGTCATCACTTGAAAAACATTGAAATGCAATCAACTCATAAAAAAGGCATCTGTCAATTTTCTGTGTGTGAGTAAAGCTTTTCTTCTTCTGAAATGTCTTTCTTCTTCAAATTAAATTAAAACAACAATCATATCAAATATTCTAATTCAGAAAATGATAGCATATATTTTATAGAAAAAGAAATTTATTTGTTTTTAGCTCTTTGTAAAACATATAAAAATGGCGTTATACAGTCCTGTGGCATTCAGATTTTACTTAAATCTCCAACTCCTGTATTTACACAAGACCCTTGCCTTTGAATGAAAAGTAATTAGTGAGTTTCTAGCTATAAAAGCCTATAAGAAATACCAAGATTACATAAAGTAAGGAAAAAAACCTATAAACTTTTTCTTTTATGTTAAAGATAGTACATGATTTAAAGCCAATCTCATGGGCTTTGAAGATACAATTTATTTTATTTTACTTTTTGAGTATGGTGTAACTGAGCTTTTTTATTACAGCTGTAAGTAATGAGGCAATAAACATTTACAATATATGGCATGAATGAAGTCAGCAAGTACTCAATGTTTGAAAAAGTCCTAAATCAGGTGCACATCCCACTGATTTTACTGGAATTGCTCTTGTAACAGAGTTTGTCAGCTTCAGTGTATTGTTTACAATGATGATTGGAGGACAATTATAAATGTGCTATAAGAGCTAAATTAAACCTACCTCTACTAAAGAGCTTGTATATGAGAGGATACTGAAGGTGATGTTGGGAACAGCAGTGCAAGAGTCAGAAAATGTTCATTGGAATCTTGCTGGCTGGATTACCTATAGTGAATCATCAAAATCAGATGACCTGTGATTTTTAAGAACACATTGTTCAGTTTGGTGAAAGGAATCAATGCTGCATTTATTTATTGCTGACAGAGCAGAAATTGCTGCATTTTTAAGAGCTCTAATCATGGCCAAGTAGATTTTGAAAAACTTTGTTCAAATATTGAATAGAAAGGTGGTCTCTACCTCGAAGCAGCTAGGACAGGAGGTGGTTGACAAAGATGGAAAACAAGGAAAGAATGAGTGAGCATAGGCTTGCAAAAAACCCAAAATAAATACTTATATATAAGCCAGTGCTATACTTTAGAAGCATTTTTAAGACATCTATGAAATAAAATAATGGGATAGTTTTGCAGATATTTACTGATACTTGTTTTTAAAGTAAAACAATGTAATTATGAAAATTCACATCATGGTTTGATTGAAGGCACTTTTCAAGTTTCTGGCAGTGAATAAAAGATGCAAAAGATAACTAACAGAGTAGAGACTGTCACATTCTACTGTATATTTAAGAAGAAAAAATTTTGTACTTAGGCTAGTGATCTGAACTTTTAAATGCTACTTGATTAAATCCAAATATTTGCTATTCAGTCTGGATTTTTTATCCTTTTAAGAAGAGGAACATGAGCTCAGGAGTGAACACTGCAAAAAGAGGTGCATCCATGAAAATCTGCCCCAGACTGCAAATAATTAAAAGGCTTGATTTACCAGTGAGACACACACTGAGCATACAGCTCCTAAACTCACTGACTGACCTCTGTCCTTTTACAGAGCTGTCTCCAGGGATCTGCTCTCCCAGTGAGAAAAATCTGTTACATGGATTGTATAGTTAAAATCCAATGTTTGCTTTCGAGCAAGAATAGGAAAACTGAAGGGAAGTGTCTTGTGTTTGTGTGAAAGAAACTTTGCATTTGTCTAAAAGTCCTTAGAGATCAGCTACATAATTCTAACCCTCTTTTTTACTAGCATAAGCCAATATACTTTAAAAGTATAGATCAAATATACTGTATAATTTGTGCTAGTTCATTCTAATTTTTTTGTTTTTAATAAATAGAGGTAATGCTTCTTGCTTATATGAAAGGCTATTATGAAGTTTAAGTGTAGAGCACTTTGAGGCTTATTTCTTGTGGAATGTACATTTTCTTAGATTTGTTTTTCTATTTTTCCACCAGGTATTATATATATATGACTGCCAGGAACAGGCAAAGGGTGATGAGAGACAAAAAAAAGACAAAAGAAAAGAGAACGCTAGGGTTCTGTCCTTTAAAATTCTGGGCAAAGGAGGAAGTAACCCATATTCATATAATTGCACAGTATGTGACAATGTTTTAACTTTTAACAAGGTGCATTGAAAGACTTTTGAATAGAGGAGGATTTTAAGGAGGATACAAGATTTCTCTTGATTTTTGTCTGTATGCCAACTATACTTATTCCAGCACTCTTGATTGTGGCAAGATTTGTTTTTGTTGTTTTCTGTGCATGTGGATTGATTGCTTCTCCTAAACTGAATAAAAGTCAAGCTGGTGGTGGGTTGTTTTTATTATTATCTGTCATCAGTGATTTTAGCTTTTTAAAAATTTCTGTAAGTCACCAGGGATGCAAAGTGTCCAGGTCACTGGACCCAGTGTTGTAACAGCAAACGTTGTAATTGATCCGAGTACAATGGAAGGATGAACCCAGAAGCTCAGAGCAAACATGCAGAGACCCTTGGCAACACCCACGAGCTGAAAGCTGACCTGGAAACAGTAAGATGTGGTAGATCTTTTGTGGTAACAGCTTTTCTAAAAGCTACATCTTGAAACTACTCATGCACATGAGGAGAGAGCAGAAGTACAGAAATATTTAAACAGAAAAAAAATTAAAAGTCATAAAAAGCACTAACAATGATAGTAAAATAAGAACTATAGAGTAGAATAGACTTGCTTTATTTAACTTTTCAAACTGCTTTCCTTTGGCTTATGTGAAAGTTCATTTTCCTTTGATATGTATCATTTTCAGACACAGCAATGATATCATTAGTTTTAAAGTCAAGACCAATACCAGCTCAGTATAAAAAACAAAACATACCCTGCTCCCCTTGCCACCCCCCCAAATCACAGTAACAATCAGGCACCTCATATGACAAATCCTTATGGTTAGTGCACTGGCTCCTTAACTCTGATGTCTAGAGCTAAAATCTTTTCTTATGACCCCAGTAAAAATGAATTTTGTGATCTACTACATGTTGTAAAAGTACAACATTACCTTCAATTTCTACTGGCTAAAAGCCCCATCAGGGAAAGGCTTTTTTCTTTCTATTTTCTATCTGAGAGTCCTTGAACCAAATACAGATAGTGTATAAATAAGTGTAACCCACTGACCCTCTGTGCCACACAGTGTCCTATATTTTTGAGCTTTGCTGTGCTGAAAGGAAGGAATTACATTCCCAGAGGTATAAGCAGGAAGATTGCTGCCTTTTTTTTTTCCCTTTTGTCCTTCATATGATAGCATAGCATTGGCTTTCAAAGGATCCTCCTTCATGTTACCTTTGTGTAATCTCATGCATAGTCTAATTATTGACTATCCCCAGTGGTAATTTGGCCAGTAGCTGAGCTGTCTGTACTGCAGTGCAGCTGGATCTGCAGCACAGGTAGGTGTACCTGAGCCAGATTTCAAGTGGCTAACATAGATTTCAGCAGGAACATACAGTCATAAACCCAGAAATTTTACTTCAGTCTTCGTAAGCCATGAGTAATTATTATGACAGCAAAGCCTGATGTCTCTACCATTGTGATATTGCCTAATTCTAAAGTAATGCTATCCTGAGTTTATCCAACTAGCTGCAAGCAGACTTTTGGCTCTCAAAGCAGGGACATTGTAAAGTAAGATGTACCCTACCCTGTTTTTGCAGTATCTGGTGATGAGGGACTTCAAAGGTGAAATCTTGCTTCAGTTTGGTGAGAGGTGCTCTATGCCCAAGGTCAAAAAGATCTCTTCTCCCCACCTTGCTTGAGGGCTGCCAATTTATAGCTGCCAGCCCGGGCAAGCTATTCTTTTGCTGAGTAAAGCTCTGAGGCCTTAATCTAATGTATGATATTTACTAGTTGCAAGTTTTTAATGCCTGTATTTTTCAGACACTTGAAAAATACAGAGTGAAAGGCACTCAGTTGAATACATTGCCAAATGATAGCTGCTCTCAGTTTGGATCAGTGCCCCTATGTACAGTTGTCATGATCTTCACTGGAGAGGCTGTGAAAATAGACTGACCTTACAGCACACCTGGAAGGCCAAGAAACTGTATTTGCCAAGCTATAGATAGTCAGGATGGTTAAGTTATACAGCCAGGTAAATGGTAATGCTAGCTGCTGTCGTAATTTATTTGGCTGACTGTGCTTGTTAGGGCAGTCCTTTAGGGACATTCCTTTGGAGCTGGCAACCTCTGTGTCCTAAAAATAATCAGTACTGAACAGAGCCAATACTGAGGGAAACAGTACTCTCAAGACATTAAAGTCTCATATCTTTGAGATTTAACTTGTATGTTTAGGGGTAGAGCTGTCAAAAGCTATGAGATGGATGCTTGGTCAGTTATTCCTCTAGAAAGGTGGGATTTCCAGGTTGTATTTTTCTCCTCTGTGGAGTCATTTACAATGCAGGGCTCTGCATTATCAAGCTGGTAATTCAGGAGAAGCAATACAGAAAGTAGTTGCCCATCAGTCATTCCTTACAGACATCCCCTGTAGTGTATGCATGCTGGCCTTTTTAGGAGGCAAATGCCATTAACCTTTCTTTTTTTAGTTTGGATTCCAAGAGGCTTTTTTATTGAAATTCATTTCACACTTACAACATGCTCTCCTTTTGGACTGTAAATTCTGTGCAGTGTGCAGATCACTCCATCTTCTTCTCCTCGTTGCCCACTGCTGCAGAGCCAGAACTTTGCAGCCAGCAGCTACTGCAGTGTTTTTCCTCCAAGGGCTCTGATGGAAGTCATCAGTGAGCATGGCTCTTGCTAGAGAGGAGCAGGAATGCATACTTAAAGGAGAAATGAGAATCCTGGTGATTCTCCTGAGCACAGTGCCAGGCAAAATGCTCTGTCTACTGCTCCTGAAATGGGAAATGTGTGGTAGGCTTTAGGCTGAGGCTAGGGTTTAAATGTCAGCCCCTATCTTTTCTACTTACTTTAATATTACAGAGAAAGCTACTATTTGGCCCCTGCTCTAGATGTGATTTCTTGCCAGCAGAGAACTATGTGAATAAATGTGCTTCTGTTTTAAATGGTGTGAAAAGGCTGGTTGGACATCTATTTAACCCTTGTGTCCTGAGCCACCACTGCCAGTTCACTGTTAAAGTGAATGAAGAGAAAAAAAATAATTATAGTAGCCACAGATAAAACTGGGATTAAGGGTGAT